GCACAGCGTCTGGTGTGCTGTGCCCTGCCACAGTACCAAATCGCGGATCCCAGCCCATTATACTGTGCAAGGTTGTTGTACCGCGTCACATCCCGCTGTGCTGAAAAAAAAGTACAGCATGCCATACTTCAGCACACACCACCACGTGCCGATCGCAATGCAGTGGTGTGAAGCGATCCCGTCCATGACCAGGCAAATTGCCATGTGTTGCGTTGGGGCTGCGCTGGAAACAATGAAGGGTATTTCCTAAGGCTGCCTGTCCCCTGCTAGTCTGTGCTATCCTGAAAGAAGAACTCCAGGCAAAACATTTCTTAACTTTTGCAGTAGGGCTACCCTCACATTGAAAGGGTCAAGAGCTTTTTTTTTGGTCTAGGTGCAAAAATAACAAAGTTATACTCATCTGAACCTCGCAGGCGACTGGCTGTTACAGCACTCCTTTCGGCCTGTCTCCTCCTCCAACAATGGACTGTCCTATGGCGTCCTCACGTCTAATACACTGTGAAGTGATTTAATAAAACTGAAGCAGCTAAAATCTGGAGCAGCTGTCCATGGCAACCAATCAGCTTCTCTCTTTCATTTTCAAATCTTAACTGAACAAACTGAAGAGAGAAGCTGATTGGTTGCCATACACAGCTGCTCCACATTTTGTCTGCTCCACTTTTGATAAATTCCCCTCTGTCTATAGAACATGATGACTCATGGGACCTCAGAAAGCTACTGAAGAGGGAGAGAGAGGCTCCTGGGACCGGTCTAACAACAAGCTGGCTCAGAGGATCGGGTGAGAATAACTTTTTTATTTTACTCTCTAGACAAAAAACAAGCACTTAACCCTTGTGGTTTGGGGGTAGCCCCACTGCAAGGGTTAAGAAAAGTTTTGCCCAGAGTTTTGCCGGCCTTCTGGCCAGAGGTAATCTACAGCCCATTTACCTAATTTTCCAAAGAGTGCTGTATGAAGATTTCTTTCACTTCAACAGCACAACAATAAATATATAAACAGAAGTGAAAAAGTAACTTAAAAGTTTTATTTAAGTGGCACTTGACAAAAGGGTTTGCCTAAAGATAGACACACTTTAAAAACATGGACACATATCCTAAAAAGCAGCAGCTGCTAATATTCCATATTTCTGCCTTACAGCCTGTGATCTCTTTTCTTTCAGCTTCCTGTTTAAAAGAAGAGGAAAAATAAAAACATGTGTGTGATAGACCTGCGCCAAGAACTCCTCCCCTTGTATTCCACATCCAGCAACTGAAAAGCAGACAAGGGGATAACTGGACACAAAGGCTTGGAAGCCTCACTGCTGGTGGAATAATTCAAGTAGCTAGCATGCAGTACAGCATATTACCATAGTGGCCGTGGTCTGCTCCACAAAAACAATTAACCCTTACTAGCAGACAAGTCCTATGACATAACCTTGTCTGGCGGATTTTCTATGCCTGCACTAACTGCAATATAAAGAAATCTACATCTACTAAGACATATATAACAAAACCCGCAGTAGAGGTAATACTACTACACCTGACACATGTACATCATAGAAGTCTGATATAGATAAATATCTCTTTCCTGCCCCAACTATTACATGTATTTATTATATTGATATTATTTATTATATCCTTATATGCGTTTAATATATTTTCAGAGCCTTCATTTGTAGGTTTTCTCCTGCTAAAAGAGTTGTGGAATATGTCGTTGCTTATTAACAAATAACAATATGATACACCTACGTCAAGACAAACAGTCCCGTCTAAACAAACACAACATTTTTGTTTAATAAATTCTGGACATCACAATGTATAAGTGCCGCAAAATATTTTCATCATCTGCTGGAAAATGGAAATCCCCTATTGAATCGTAAATGTGACAATACAAAATGAACTCTACGATCTAACAAGGAGTCCTGTGTATAAGGACTAAAGGGGAATATTATTCAGCAATATAATTGTGTTGAGATAAAAGGTGTTTTATATCTTTACATGATTTCCTGATGTATATAAATCACGGTAGGTGGGATGCCATGTCATCTGCACCTATTCTTTTGGCAGCGTTAGCTAAAGCCGGGTGTTTGCTGTTATTAAACTCATGCCCCCCCCTGCTAGGAAGCATTGAGGAGACATGATCTTCTCTTTAGAGCATTATATGAGGGAAGAACAGGGCTGATTCTGCCTTAATGCAGCAGAAGCCAAATAAAAGGAGGGGGGTTGCTTCCTGTAAGATATCTTACCAGTCTAACAGCATCAGAGTCAGAGGGAAGGAGGAGGGAGTGAGGGAAAATAGCCACTACTGTGCAAACAACCCTCCCCCACAACACACACACTTTGCCACTCAGAAGTGAGCAGCAAACAGCCAAGCCTCAGCTCTGACAGTGTCCTGATTACTGAAGCAAGAGATGTACACTTTACACTTGTACCCCACCCCCAGCCCTGAGCTCCTCCCTGGCTCATGACTCTATTTAACCACAAAAATCCAGTTGTCTACATTTAGCACGCCGCTTTCCTCTTACACAGCGCCTAGAAACATGTGCACCGAGAACTGGGAGGAAGAGCGGCCTTTATTATAACACCGTGAATGTAAAACACAACAATATTATGAGTGCGCTAATCAAAAAATTATCTATCCACTCATAGAGATCAGGACATGTACACTAGTAACACACTTCTTATCTTGCATAGTGTGCAAGGAAACAAATATATTATAGAGACCAGGACCTGAAGTTTAAATCTACACTAGTAACACACTTCTTATCTTGTATAATGTGCAAGGGAACAAATATATTATAGAAACCAGGTCGTGAAGTTTAAATATTCATAGTAACACACTTCCTATATTCTATAGTGTGCAAGGAAACAAATATATTCACTATAGAGATCAGGGCATGAAGTTTAAATGTACACTAGCAGCACACTTCTTATTTTGTATATAGTGCAGGGAAACAAATATAATCATTTACAGAGATCAGGACATGTCATGTAGATTAAATGTACACTGGTAACACACTTCCTATCTTGTATAGTGTGCAAGGATACAAGTATATACATTATAGAGATCAGGACCTGAAGTTTAAAGGTACACTAACTAGTAGCACACTTTATTTTGTAGTGTGCAAGGAAATAAATTACTCATTTACAGAGAACAGGATGTACACTAGCAACACACTTCTTATCTGATACAGTGTGCAAAGAAAAAAAAATCCATTATAGAGAGCAGGACTTGAAGTATAAATGTACACTAGCAACACACGTGTTATTTTGTACAGTGTGCAAGGAAACAAATATACCCATTTATAGCGATCAGAAGTTGTGTGTTACCAGTTTACACTTACACTTCTTACACTTGTATAGTGTGCAAGGAAAAAAGGTATATTTATTATAGAGAATAGATCATGACCTAAAGTTTAAAATGTACAATAGTAACACACTTCCTATTGTGTATAGTGTACAAGGAAGCACATACATTAATTTATAGAGATCAAGACTTGAGGTTTAAAAAGTACATTAGTAACACACTTTTTATTGTGTATAGTGTGCAAGGATACAAATATACTCATTTTATAGAGATCAGGACATGACATTTAAATGCACACTAGTAACACACTTCTTATTCTGTACAGTGTGCAAGGCCAAGAAGTAAACTACTACTAATCTGGAAGTGTCAGGTCAGGGGAAGCAGCACTGACATTTGCCATCAATTAAAGAGTTATTCTGACCCAAAGCACTGACATGAATAACTATGATTGAATTAAAAAGAAACTGCGCTGTCAATGAGTCTTCAACCCTGTGACTGTATGAACTTTTTCTGCTAGTTCTGAAATGACCAATCTGAACCCTCTGATCAGGATCATGTCGCTGTAACCTTTGTGTTTTCAGAATAAAATTATAAATGAATGATATAGATGTATATTGAACTGGATGGACCTGTGCCTTTTTAACCTTATCTAGTCTCTCTCTATTTATTTATGCACACGTGTTATAAGTTTTAAAAAAGACACATGTCAGTCTACATACATACACACACATATATATATATATATA